GGACCCGGGAACTCCAGCGTTGCCACCGCGCCCCGACACCCGACACCGTCCCCCGCGGCCTGGAAAGCCCGTGTGCTCCCAGGCCGGGAAGTACGTCCACCCCACCGCTCCCTCTCCCTCGCCGCCCACCGCCCCTTCGCCTCCCCCCACAGCCTCTTGCCCCCGCTCCGGGAGAGAAGGACTGACACGCGGCACGTCCTCTGTTCCCGGCCCGCAGGTACACACAGGCACTCACCTGCTTCTCCGCGCCCCGCGTCCGGGAGGTCGCGGTCGCTTCACCAGCTCCGGCTGCGCCGCAGGTGATGAGGGAGGGGCGGGTCGCCCGGCCCCGAGCCAGAGGCGACAGGGCCTGTTGGTCGCGGCCGGGGCGGGGATTAGGCCTCTGCCACGCCCCGACCCGCTGTCGCGCAGATCTGCCCAATGGCCCCGGGTTCACCCTTCGCCGCCTTCATTGGCAGAGGATCATTTGAGCAGAAGAGTTGGTGTGAGAGGTCGCCTTCCTCTCGTTTGAGTTTCAATTTGTTGTAGAGTTAAAACGCTGGCATCGGCCAGGCACAGGGGCTCACGCCTGTAATCCCAGCACTTTGGGAAGCCCAAGCGGGAGGATGGCTTGAGGCCAGGAGTTCGAGACCAACCTGGGCAAAAAAGTGAGGGCCTGCCTCTACAAAAAAAATAATTTAAATAAAATTTTTATTTTTTATTTATGTATTTGGTTTTTTTTTTGGAAGCAGAGTCTTGCTCTGTCGCCCAGGCTGGAGTGCAGTGGCATGATCTTGGCTCACTGCAACCTCCACCTCCCAGGTTTAAGTGATCCTCGTGCCTCAGCCTCCCGAGTAGCTGGGATTACAGCCCACCACCACACCTGGCTTTTTTGTATATTTAGTAGAGATGGATTTCACCATGTTGGCCAGGCTGGTCTTGAAATCCTGACCTCAAGTGATCTGCCCTCCTCAGCTTGCCAAAGTTCTGGGATTACAGGTGTGAGCCACCATACACACCTGGCCCATAAATAAAATGTTTTAAAACGCTGTTATTGTTCTGTTATCCTGGACTGCTGTATTCCCTGCTAAGTAAATTAATCTCCAGTTAACTACAAAAAGTAATTAAAATTTCAGAGTTGTTGAGAAATGCTGAGTGTATGATAAAATATAGTCTGCTAAGAACGATGGCAAGGAAAACCTATCCACCCCCCACCCCCAGTGGAAAACTACTTGGGGCATTCTAAAGTGGCAAGACAGTATATGTAAACCATACACCGGTTAAAACAATTCTTCAAGCACAGGGCATGTGACCTGGCCCTCGTGGGTCGCTCGTGGAGAATACTTTCTAGTTGGTCTGTGATCAGTGGTAAGCAGGCACCAGCTGCCTATCTAGTTTATGTTGGTTCTATGAGAAAACACAGAACACCTGTTTGTTAATAATAATCACCTGTTCAGAGAGAATAAATAATGTGAGACACTGCTTGAGGCCTTCAGCCCAGAATGCTGTCAGCCCTCTGAGGCTCTCAGCTCAGAAGACTGTTGGTTCCTCCAGACAATCCCACTTTGCTGTTCCATCTGGGTGTCTGCTTCTTAATTCCTTCAGCACTGCCTGGGTGGGGGTCTCTACGGCCTAGTTGGTCTTGGTACAGAGTGCATTGCAATCAAGATTCACTTACCTCTTCCCCTTTAAAAAAAAAAAAAGTAAAAGACAAGATTCCCTCTTTTCAAGCATTCCTCATTTTCTGAGTGATGGTTATGAGTCAGGCACCATACGAAGCACAGGGATGAAAAGGTGAATAAGACAAAATATTAATACAGTTCAGATGAATAAAATAATAGCGGTTGTCTGGAAATTTCAGTTTTATAATTTCAAACTAGTTAAAATAGATGAACATCAAAGTTTATTTACAGTGCCTAGCAGTTCTGTAAATGTATTTCTCTTTCCTTTTTGCACTTTAATTACAGACCTGCAGTCTACCACCAAGCACTGTTAGTGGCAAAAATTCTAATGCTCAGCAGGACACAGTGGCTCATGTCTGTAATCCCAGCACTTGGGGAGGCCAAGACGGGCACATTGCTTGAGCCCAGGAGTTCAGACCAGCCTGGGCAATATAGTGAGAGGCTGGCTCTATAAGATAAAAAATTTTTTAGGCCGGGCGCGGTGGCTCACGCCTGCAATCCCAGCACTGTGGGAGGCCGAGGTGGGTGGATCACGAGGTCAAGAGATCGAGACCATCCTGGTCAACACGGTGAAACCCCGTCTCTACTAAAACTACAAAAAATTAGCTGGGCATGGTGGCACGTGCCTGTAATCCCAGCTACTCAGGAGGCTGAGGCAGGAGAATTGCCTGAACCCAGGAGGCGGAGGTTGCGGTGAGCCGAGATCGCGCCATTGCACTCCAGTCTGGGTAGCAAGAGCGAAACTCCGTCTCATGAAAAAAAAAAAAAAAAAATTTTTTTAAATGATCACTTTAGTGATCTTCACAGAGGTAAAAGAAGATATCATCCAAGAAACAAGGAGATAAAATGAGGCCTGGTAAAGTTACTTAGCTAGATAACAAGGGGTGGTGTGTGTATTTGGACCCAAAGCCTTGCACCAAAGCCCGTATTGTTTACTGATCTCTTAATTACTAACCAATCCATCAGTAAGTCCCATTGGCTCAATCTCAAAATGTAACTCACAGCCAGATACTTACCTCCACAACTACGGCCCTGGCCCAGCCACCATTACCTCTACTTATTACAGATGGTCTCGTTTCCTTGCTGCCACCTGTCCTATATAGTCTATTCTCATACAACAGCCTAGTAATTCTTCATGCCACTCTCCTGCTTACCGTCCCAATGGCTTCCCATCACAACACCCTAAGTGAGCTGACCTCTTCTGTCCACCTCTGCAACCTCATCTTCTCCCACTATCCCTCCTGTCATGAAGTTTGAGTCACATGGGCTTGATTCTGAAGTGGGAACAGGATTAATCTCACTTTTCACCCCAGAGCTTTTACATGGAGTGTTTTCCCTATTTCAGTGTTGTTCTTTCTCATCCTTCTGTCCTCTCTGCTCAAATAACCACTCCACCTAAACTTCTAACACAGAACTCATTCTAAGGAAGGGTGAGGACATGGGTGTATTATGTATGATGAGGCAACTTGTCACCCAGTCTGGAGTACAGTGGTGCAATCTTGGGTCACCACAACATCCACTTCCTGGGTTCGAGCAATTCTTATGCCTCAGGCTCCCAATTAGCTGGGATTATAGGCACACACCACCATACCCAAGTAATTTGTTGTATTTTTAATAGAGACGGAGTTTCACCATGTTGGCCAGGCTGGTCTTGAACTCCTGAGCTCAAGCAATCCTCCCGCCTTGGCCTCCCAAAGTGCTGGGATTACAGGTTTGAACCACTGTGCCCAGCTTTCATTTTTTAATTTTTCATAAGTCCAATCTCTTACAATAGCTATCTTAAAGTACTGTTACCTCCATATGCCCATTGATTACTTGTAATCATAATTCCTCCACTTTGATAATGAAACTGAAAGGAAATCAAGTGAATTGGCCAGTCATTGAGTAGTAAGACTGGATTTGAAATCTCCATTTAGTGCTTTTCAGTGTGTCCACAGTCAGTAAGCCATTGATAGGGTGCCAAATTATGTGCTAACATCAAGCTCAAGCTTACTAATTTTCATATTTTAGAGCACTATTCAAAAGAATGTTTTTAAGGCAATTTTATGTCAGTTTTTTTCTTGAAACTGTCTAGGTAGGTAAGAGGTAAAATTACTTCTAGTTTCTAGATGAAGGGAGCACAAGGTAAGTGGCTGACTGAGAGCAGACTGAGTTCCAGCTGTCATACTTTTTGCATCAAGTTCTTCTGCCCAGTTAGCCAGGTAACAATATTCAATTAAACTACTGATATGCTAAGGATTCAGAAGAATTAAGATAAGTGTAACTTTATTATCCCATAAGTTGGGGTTTATCTGTTTAGGGAACTGTCATAAAGAGACACCATGTATTGGGATTCCCTCATCTAAAAAGTTCAAGAAGGAATATACCAGAATTATAAAATTAAGAAAGCTCCATTTTATTGCCAGCCTGGGCAATGTAGTGAGACCTCAGTTCTACTAAAAATTAAAAGAATCAGCCAGCACGGTGGTGTGTGCTTGCAGTCCCAGCTATTCAGGTGAGAGGATTGTGAGTCTGCGAGATGGAGGCTGTAGTAAGCTATGATCATGCCACTGCACTGCACAACTCCCTCCTTCTACAACAGAGAGAGACCCTGTCTTAAAAAAATAATCTCGGCATGGCAGTATCTCATATAGCATGTAATAAATTTATAGAATATATGAAGATGGTAGTCAAAATACAGGTGTTTACAAAATCATGGACAATATTTTGAATGTAAAAGACAGACATAGCTATTAATAAAGTTGGAATATATCAAATCTTTAAATTGCATGTCAGGATGGTCAACATGACATTCCAGAACCATGGAATACCTGAACAGAATATCGTATAGTGACCATTAATTCAACATCCGTAAGATCAAGGCTAAAGATTTAAACATTAATCCAGTAATTCAGCGTAAGCCAATGCTCCCCTTCCCAACCCTTGACTCAGGGTGTCGCTCAGTCCATCAGGCTGGAGTGCAGTGGCACGATTATGGCTCACTGCAGCCTCAAACTCTGGGGCTCAAGTGATCCTTCCACTTTAGCCTCCTGAGTCACTGCCTGTTTTTTTTGCATCCTAAAGCAGAACTGCTGACTTTAATGAGTGATTACACCTATGAAACTGCACTTGGCTTAACAGCCTGCTTCTTTGCTTGGGGTTGATTTTGCCTTACAGAAGGCAACAATTAAAGTTTCCCTTCATTATTCTGAGATTCAAGAATCAAGCATTATATGAAAATACAGAAAGGCCTATACCAAGTAATAAATGAAAAACTGAACTCAAGATGATGTATGGCATATTGACACCAAGCACAATGGTATACTCCGTATCAAATGACACGGTGACACAGAACAGTGGTTTCCAATAAATTTATTTAATCACAACTTCAGAGGGTTCTAGAAACTTGCATTTTTAACAAGCACCGCAGATGATTCCAGGTTTTGATTAGAAGTGTGGTTTGGGTAAGCAACTTTACCCTTAATTGTGTGTCAGATTACATATAGAGTAAAACAAAAAGTCATGTAACGGAACAAAAAATAGCTTTATACAAAATATTAGTAGATAAATACAATATGGTCTTAAAAATAAAATCATATGTATATAGTTGTATTCCTAAGTACAGCAGTGCCTCACTCATTCCAAGTTTCCTTTCTGTGGTTTCAGTTATCTGTAGTCAACGACATCCAAAAACAGGTGAGTACTGTACACTGTATATGAAGATATTTTGAGAGCAAGAAAGACCAACCACATTCATATAACTTTATTACAGTATGTTATCATTGTTCTATTTTATTAATCTCTTGCTATGCTTAATTTATACATTACACTTTATCATCGGTATGTATATATAGAAAAAAGGTGTATAAAGGTTTGGTACTATCTGAGGTTTCAGGAGTCCACTGGGGGCCTTGGGATGCATCCCCTGAAGATAAGGGGAAACTACTGTATGCAAAATCGAAATCTATACAACAATTAGAAACATTGAGAGAGCAAATTAAGTATAAGTGAAGACATTCCTCTGAATTCCCAGGTTTCATCGAGCATCGAAAACGACCACTGGATTAATCTGAGTTAAGGACAAAAAAGGTACTTAAAACATTAAGATTGAAGATTTCAAAGTCATTTTGTCTTTGCAGTAAGCTGGTTTGTTATTTAACTGAAAATACAAAAAATAGAATTCACTATTTACTATGACAACTTGAGATAAACTAAAAACACTTTCAATTTTTATCTGCACGTTTTCCATGATAAAATGTATCAAAAAACACTAACGCAGGCCAGGCGTGGTGGCTCACACCGGTAATTGTAATCCTAATTGTAATCGCAGCGGGCAGACCTGTATTACAGCTCACGCCTGTAATATAGTATACAAAGTATTTGTATTTCTCCTTGTGAAATTTAGCTTGTCCATAAACTCAAGCTCAAGAATGAGTGCTTATATAAATATAGTAATGCATCCATGATGTTTTGGTCAAAGATGGATCACATATAAACAGGGGTTGCATAAGACTATATTTTTGCTGTACCTCTTCTACGTTCAGATATACGAAAACCATTGTATTACAATTGTCTATAGCATTCAATACAATAACACGCTGTACAGGTTTATAGCCTAGTAGCAATAAGCTATACCATATAACCTATATCCTGTATATGTATAGCAGGATATACAGTCTAGGTTTCTGCAGGAATGATGAAATTGCCTAAGGACATAATTTTCAGAATGGATCCCTATCCTCAAGCTTAACTGCACAGAATCCCTAAAAAGTAAATTAATGAAAACCAAAATCAACTAGTATTATTTATTTAGAGCCTATGCATTGGTACATGAAAATGCTAATCACGTTTGTTTGTACTCTAATCCAGGAAGTTATCACTTTAACCACAAATTAATCTTTATCAACCCCAGCATTATTCATTTCCTCCTTCCTCATATTTAGAAAGCATAGTTAAAAGGATACATCTTTTAGTCCTTTTCTTGTACATTATTCTGTATCCACATTCTCTGCATCTGATTGGATCCCTAGATTTTATTTCATTTTCTGTGTGACATTCTAGAATTAAAAAAAAAAAGCACATTTAGTCAATGCCTAAAAGGAAACTATTACAAATTATCTTAACTATATTTTTCCCCTAAGGCAATCCAAAACACGAAAATATACTCAATCTCAAGGGTCTGTTGCTATTACGAAATATATTAAGTAGGAAAGAAAAGTGTTGTAGGCAATGCACATTTCCAGGAGAGAGAATGAAATCTCAACCTTTTTTTTTTCCTGTTAGTAAACTGCAGACCCAAGACGAACCCAGGTCTACTGACCTCAACGAGATTTTTTTTTTTTTTAATGGTTGCTAAAGTGTTTTACTTTATAACTTTGAAGATCTGTAACTCATTCAAGCAAAGAACAAATTAAATAATTTAAAAAAAAATATTCTTACTTTATGTAAGTGCTACTCTTACCTCCACAGATATATATCATTGGTTGCTGCTTTGGAGGTTGAACGTCCTTCTGAGTGTCCATTGTTAGCCCCTGAAATCACAGACTCAAATACTGAATATATCAAAAAGGCTTCTCACAAGTCCAACTGGGACCATTTTTCTCAAGAAAAGCTAAAAAGATCCCAATTCCTAATCGTTCTTTCCCCCAAATCCTGTGGGTTAAGTCTCAAGGACAAAACGCATACACGCAAGTATTGAGCGTCTACCCCAAACTGGACACAATTATAACTACTTCATACATGTTATGCCATTATAATCTTCATAACAATCCTAGGAGACATCACTCTTATTTTACAGATGAAGCAACCTAGACTCAGACATGTTAACTTCCGCAGGATCACTCAGCTACTAAAAGGCAAAGGAATACAAAGCTCGCATCTTTGTTTAACATAAGCTACATTTTCCCAAACTCTACCCGAAGTTAGCCAAAAACACTATAGCCCTCAACTGGGGAACAGGCTAACGGAAGAGAAGAACAATGAAATAACTCTACCAGCGAAACATCTAAACTAAAAAAATACATAGGGAAAAGAGTGACAGCATGGATTGCATACCCAGCCTCTCTCAACTCTACCCCAATACCGGACCTTTTTACCACAAGTCTCTTTCCAGTTTGGGCCCAAATATCCACCACAAACCTCAACCAACCCGCCAACTCGCTACCTACGCAACACAGGAAAACTTCTCCGCGTTTCCAAATACAATCCGGCTCGTCTCTGTGTCGAGACCAACTTCCGGCGCTGGTATATGACGCACAGTGGAGTCGCTCTCTGCCTTTTCCGTCCTGGGCGGGGCCAGAGAGCCCGGATTGCGCAAAGGCGATAAGGCAGGGTTTTCTGTCTGTTAGACCCTACGGGTATAAGTGCCTGTTTGACCCCCAGCTATTTTAATTTTTCAGGAGAGCAGTGCATTTTAAAAGTTATGCAAGTCCAAGGCGTCGTGTGTTTTTTACTAGTAGTGCTACAAAGTAACACTTTTCCAGAAGGGTAGAGGGTTAGAAAAAAAACCGAGATGACAGCGTCCGAGAAGTACTAGGCTAGCTGTCACTTCGACGAACATAGAAGAATCGACTACACCAATGATTTTCACATAGAAAAACGCTTTCCAGATTGTTTTAAAAAATTGTTTGATGCCTGTGCTGGGGCAGTGGGGCAGCTGCCTCCTATCCTCATGATTTATTTTTGCTTTCTCGCCCTTTCTCTCACAGGCTACTGTCACATCCGTCTCCCAGTCCTTTTACTTGTTTTAAAGCAAAGGCTAGCGTGACGATAGCCACATAAACAACTCCCACTTTAAGAGATTTTGGTAGCTTTCGCTGTCTACTCAACCTCTCTCCGTCCCTCCACCATGGAAGAACAAAATGCTCTGCTTGGTGGAGGTGCGTTCTTTCAAAGATCAAAATTGCAATAGGATGGATCAGTTAGCTTCAGAACCTTTAAATTTGTTTCCTTTTTTCCGCAGCAGATATTTTACTTAATAGGGTGAAAAAATGAAACTACTTAAAAATTTCGGAAATAACTTGTGTTAATAACTATGTTAAAGTTAAAGAAAGAAGCAGGCATTCTTTCTCCCAACGCGCACTAGGTCTTTGATATTTTATTAAGCAGGTTATACTCCTTTCGGGCCCTCCGTCCAGAAATTTGAGAGCGTTGAGCCTCATCTTTCACTTCCAGAAGTTCAGGCTCCTGTTGCATCTCCACAGACCAGCTTGAGAGATTTAAGCTGATCTTTCCAGGAAGATGCCATTTAAAACCTTTCAGGGAAACACGGCAGTTCCTGGCTTCTTTCTTCATAGACAGGCTAACAGAGCATAAATATTTTAACCATAATCCCTGTTACAAAATACTTCTCCTTTTAACCAAGGAGGTGATCTAACACAAGAGTCACAATAAGCTTCCCTATAAGAACGATTAGATGGAACCATTGTTATCCTAAGATGACAGAGTGATCCCCAAAGTCAAACTTTCATATTTGCAAGGTATCTTGTATTCTAACTCTCCAGTTAAAACATCAAGATAATTCTGGCACAGAACAATTTATGGCGATCAGAATGGATCAACATATGTAGAATACAAATGGGTCCTGGGACCCTACAGAAGGGCAAGGTAATGACAAGTCATAGCAGGGAGATCAAGAATTTCAACAAGAATTTGTGTCGTTTTTAGTTCCCAATCCAACATGCTCTTTCCTGTCAACAGAGACTGGTAGTTTTAGGATCACTACGGAGTATGGTCACTGTAAGCTACCTTATTATCAATTAGAGCATTAACTAACTTTTTCTGTCTGACATGACAGACATTACTGCATTGCTCTGTTGTAATGGGGATAGTTGTCTTGCCATCCTGGACAACAGTGCTTTTAACTCTTTATTAAGAAGGTTACGGAGCCGGGCGCGGTGGCTCAAGCCTGTAATCCCAGCACTGTGGGAGGCCGAGGCGGGTGGATCACGAGGTCAAGAGATCGAGACCATCCTGGTCAACATGGTGAAACCCCGTCTCTACTAAAAATACAAAAAATTAGCTGGGCATGGTGGCGCGTGCCTGTAATCCCAGCGACTCAGGAGGCTGAGGCAGGAGAATTGCCTGAACCCGGGAGGCGGAGGTTGCGGTGAGCCGAGATCGTGCCATTGCACTCCAGCCTGGGTAGCAAGAGGGAAACTCCGTCTCAAAAAAAAAAAAAAAGAAAAGAAAAAAAAAAAAGAAGGTTACGGAAATGGAAGTTGCTATTTTTTCCCTGAATCTCTGTCTTTCCTTTTTCCTTGGTTATATTCACTTAAATATATCCAGATAGCTTGAGTATCATGGTGATTTGGGAAATCTCCCATTATGTTTTATGGGATGGTCCCAAAAGAAGCATTAGATCTTGTGACAGGTATGTTTTAGAGTTCTGAAGTCAATAATGGGATGACACTCAATGCAAGAAAGGAAAGCAAAGGGTGGGCACAGTGGCTCATGCCTGTAATCCTAGCACTTTGGGAGGCTGAGGCAGGCAGATCAATTGAGTTCAGGAGTTTGAGACCAGCCTGGCCAACATGGTGAAACCCTGTCTCTACTAAAAATACAAAAAATTAGCCAGGCATGGTGGCATGCACCTGTAATCTTAGCTACCCAGAACACTGAGGTGCAAGAATCGCTTGAACCCAGGAGGTGGAGGTTGCAGTGAGCTGAGATTGCCCCACTGCACTCCAGCTGGGTGACAAGTGAGACTCCATCTCAAAAAAAAAAAAAAAAAAAAAAAAAAAAGGAAGCAAAAAGGCAAAAGACTGTAATGAGTAAAGAATATGAAAGTACAGCTCAGCAGCTTAAATCTTGAGTGTGTAAGTAAAGCTCAGGCAAACTGTATGTAACTTGGTGTCTTTTTGCCCATTTTTAGGTGGGGATAGGTGGCAATGATTCTTCCTTGAACAATATAAAGGAGACATGATATGATATGGTCATTTACTCCTCAGTCATAATAAAATATCTCAAGAAAAATTAACTGGAGAAAAAAGAAGAGGGTAATGTTTAAATGGTTTTGTGGTTATGTGGATTTTATTTAACCATAGGCAAAATTACCTGCCCTGTCATTGGGGTGGAGATGGGGAGCAGACATTAAACAAAATGAGTAGATAATATGGGATTTTAGAAGGTAATAAATTACACAGAGAAAATTAAGCAGAATTCTGCAAGAGGATTGTAAATGTGGGGCAGGAAAGGACAAAATGGCTGTAATAAGAGATTTGTTTGAAGAGGGTACTATTCAATCTACCAGGGAGTGTGGCGTAGGCTTCAGAAAGACGCTGTCTTGAAGAATGTGTAATTCATTAATTCTTTACGGTCCTACAGGTACCTCAAACATAACAGACTCACAGTAAATGTGTCTTATTGTCTCCCAATCCTATACTCTTCACTCCCTCACCCCTTGTCCCATGCAGTTGATTCTGCCAACTGAATATGTCATGTCTTGGTTCTGCTCCACCCCACTGTCTTCTGGAGAAACGCAGTAGCTCCCTACTGGTCTCCTGGCAGCCACCCTTGCCTCTCTTCATTCTGTCTTCCATTCTGCCACCAGAGTGGACTTTTTAAAATGCTCTTCAGACTGTTAATGTGCATCCAGACCTCTCCAAGACTTAGCTTCTTAACTTCTCAAGAATTTTCTCTAATCTGTTCCTCCAACAACTCTTAGTTTCTGCCTATAACAAATTATCTGCAGTTTCTCTATGTGCCCAAATGCTCTTGCACATTTTGAGTTTGAAATTTTCCTGCCCTTGTACATTTTAAGTTTGGAATTTTCCTGTTGTCTGCCTTTTAGATTGCCACTTGTACATCAAAATCTGTCTCATGCCATGGCCTTTAGGAAGGTAGCACCACACTCTCTTCTGCAGTAGGGCTAAGCTGGTTCCTCTTTCCTCTGTGTTGCTACTGTTCCTCTGTTACAGGATTTGCTCTGTGCCAAAGAGCTCCTTAACAGCAGTAACTGTGCCTTTGTCAGCTTTGTATTCCCAGTTGCTAGCCCAGTAATTGGCACCTAGTTGGAACTTAATAATCGTTAGTGGCCAGGCACAATAGCTCATGCCTGTAATCCCAGCACTTTGGGAGGCCGAGGCATGTGGATCACTTGAGATCAGAATTTGAGACCAGCCTGGCCAACATGGCAAAACCCCATCTCTACTAAAAATACAAAAATATCCCAGCACTTTGGGAGGCCGAGGCGGGTGGATCACGAGGTCAAGAGATCGAGACCATCCTGGTCAACATGGTAAAACCCCGTCTCTACTAAAAATACAAAAAATTAGCTGGGCATGGTGGTGCGTGCCTGTAATCCCAGCTACTCGGGAGGCTGAGCCAGGAGAATTGCCTGAACCCGGGAGGCGGAGGTTGCAGTGAGCCGAGATCGTGCCATTGCACTCCAGCCTGGGTAACATGAGTGAAACTCCGTCTCAAAAAAAAAAAAAAAAAAAAAAATACAAAAATTAGCCGGATGTGGTGGTGGGCGCCTGTAATCCTAGCTATTCAGGAGGCTGAGACAGGAGGATCATTTGAACCTGGGAGGTGGAGGCTGCAGAGAGCTGAGATCATGCCACTGCACTCCAGCCTAGGTGACAGAGTGAGACTCTGTCTCAAAATAATAATAATAATTGTTAATGAGTTTGATTTTGGATGACTTAGGGACATCCAGATGAAGAAATGTCCAGTCAGAGAAGAGTGGTGGTAGTGCCTGTTACTGGCTTAAAAGTGATGGTTGAAGTTCTGAATGTGAATTAAGCATGGGATGATAAACTAATAAAAATGCTGAGGTAGGATGTCTCATTTACGGAGTAGGCCAAGGAAAAGAAGCCAGAAAAAGGAGACTAGGAAGAAGCTGCCAAGAGCAGCAGGCATGTCCCTGGCATATAGTAGGTGCCCAGTAAATATTTATTGAATGAAAAAATTAGGGTTTAAAAAATATATTTGGCATTGAGGGTACTTGGGAGTTCATAATGCTCCAAAAGGAATGTTTGTAAACAATGAACACATTTCACTCTTGTTTTTATTAATAGATTTTTAAATAATCTTTTTTTTTGAGACGGGGGTCTCACTATGTTTCCCAGGCTGGTCTCGAATTCCTTGGTTCAAGTGATCCTCCCTCCTCTGACTCCCAAAGTGCTGGGATTACAGAGGTGAGCTGCCACACCTGGCTCAGCTTTCTTATTACAAAATCTGTATATATTCCTTGTAGAAACACGAAAAGAAAACAGATTGAAAGACACAACTAAAAAGCAACATACTCCTATACAAAGGTACTTTATCCAAGTTATTCATACCTTTCAGACCTCATCCTGTGTTTACCCATATTTTCAACCTAAAAGGATTTATAACATGCTTTTTACATTTCACAGTTTGGAGAAACATTTCCAAGAAAACATTCTCCTACACGATTTCTAATGGCATCCCACTGTAGGCCATATTAGCCTTTCTAAATACGGTAATGCTTCCCAAAGTGGGAATTGGTAAAGGAGGAGCCTTTCTGACTCGCCTCGGGGCGGCTACAGGGGTGACAGAGGGTGCTCCTCCCGCGTAGGCGAAGCCTGAGGGCGGCCGGGCGGGGGCGCTGCGGAGCCGGAGCCGGAGGCAGGGGCGGTGCGACGCGGCGCGGCGCGGCGCGGGGCGGGGTTGAGCGTAGCGGTTACTCGGGGCGGGCAGTTCAAATAGGAGGAGGGTAAGGCAGCGGCCCAAGCGAAGCTGGCGTGGGGGTTGCCATAGCCCGCATCCCAGGGGACGAGGCCGAGGCTCGTCCCCGGCGCCTCCAGCAGCGGCTGCCCGGCTCCTCTCCCACCTGTGCCCCTCGGCGCCCCGCCCGGCTCCGCGGCTTCCAGGCGGGCGGCGCGGAGACCCCAGACGAGTACCCGCTAGCGGGTCTCCAGGCGGCCCTGGCCGCAGCACCGGCCCCGCGTCCCCCTGTGCCTTCCAGGTGCTGGGCCTAGGGAGGCGCACGGCAGCCCTCACTCCTCCGCTCCAGGTGACGTCCGTCCGCCCCCTGCCACCTCTGGCTTTCTGGGCCGAGCGGATCTTTGACGCCCTGGTGAGACCGTTACCCACCCGCCCGCCATAGCCCTTCCGGGGAGTCAGTGCCGGGCTGCAGCACACATTGCCTTTTCAGGGACCCGAATTTGGGGAGTTTACTCAGGTCCAAGTCCAGCTAGAGAAAACAGGGATATTAAGAGAACTATTTTCTGGAGGGCTGAAGGAAATTCAAAATGTTATAGACTTTCTCAAGTGTTAGAAATAATCCGGCATGCATCCTGTGTCTCCTTCGACTTTGAGCAATTATCGTGCTGCTGCACCTTCCAATTAATTGTTCGAACCGAAGTTTTTCTCATTAAGTGACATTACTTTGGCATGAATTTTAAAGGCAAAAATGAGAGAATTTCTTGTTTGGAGGCCTACGTAACTTTGACGTCCAAGAGATCCAGATTTACTGATGGTAAGAGTTTCCACTTTAACAAATGAAGGATATTTGTGTTTAATATAAGTATTTAATTCTCTGATTTGATAGGTGCTTTTTTTTTTTTTTTTTAAAGACTACTTTAGGGAAAACCAGCCTTGTATCAGAAGGCTGGTTCTTAAAATGAATGTCGAAGTATCAAAGAGGCTTGACTGATTTATCCGTGAACTGTTGAGTCCTGAAAATACAACAGTCCATGATTTTACATGAATAATTTTAAAATTAAGTTGTGAAGAACCACATTTGGGACCAACGTCTTGGGGTAGTAGAAAGATGAAAATGATAGCGGAGAAAGGACATTGGAGGCAACTTCAAGTGTGTAGATTAACAATTTTTTTTTCTTTTTTTCTTTCCCTTCTAAAGTAGAAATGAACAATTTTTTTTTAAGAGATAGGTTCTCACTATGTTACCCACGCTGGTCTTAAACTCCTGGACTCAAACGTTTCTTCCGCCTCGGCCTCCTAAAGTTCTGGGATTACAATCGTGAACCACTGGCCAGATTTTGGATAACGTTTTAGGGGAAAGAGGGTAATATCTGCATTCCCCACTTTGTTTTTAACAATTTGCCTCTTAGTTTCCTAAATTCTAGCATTGTGAGACACCTAGTGGTGAAGTAGCAGTACAGTTGTCATAACGATGGCTCACGCCTGTAATCCCAGCACTTTGGAAGACCAAGGTGGGTGGATCAACTAAAGTCAGGAGTTCGAGACCAGCCTGACCAACATGGCGAATCCCCGACTCTACTTAAAATACAAAAATTAGCCGGGCGTGGTGGTGGACAGCTGTAATCCCAGCTACTGGGGAGGCCGAGGCAAGAGAATCACTTGAACCTGGGAGGCGGAGGCTGCAGTGAGTGGAGATTGTCCCCCTGCACTCCAGCCTGGGCAACAGGAGTGAGACTCCATCTCAAAAAAATTAATAAATAATAAAAATAGAAAAATAAAAGTTCTGTGACCTAATTTTACCAAATTGAATAAAAAGTGTTATTTAACAGAATTACTTTCAGAGAGGGAGAAAACAGTTCATGGAGGTATAATTTGAATATATATTCTATTGTATTAATTTAATATTTGTAAAATAAAATTATTTAAAATATAACAAAATTATAAAAATCAGTTTGATAAATCTTCTTGGCTTGTGACCATGTGTAGAAGTTAGCAGTGATCTGAGAGGATGTAGATCAGAAGGGGACATATATGTCATTTATAAAAAACAAGTATAGGCCAGGCATGGTGGCTCACACCTGTAATCCCAGCACTTTGGGAGACTGAGGTGGTCGGATCACAAGGTCTGGAGATCGAGACCAACCTGGCTAACATGTTGAAACTCCATCTCTACTAAAAATACAAAAAATTAGCTGGGAATGGTGGCACACGCCTGTAGTTCCAGCTACTCGGGAGGCTGAGGAAGGAGAATCGCTTGAATTCGGAAGGTGGAGGTTGCAGTGAGCCAAGATCACGCCACTGCACTCCAACTTGGACGACAAAGCGAGACTCCATATCAAAAAAAAAAAAAAAGTATAGCTTTAAAAGGTTAAAAATACTCAAATTTTGTTTAGTAAAAATAATCTAATGATCATTATACCATAAAGAAATAATTTTGTGTTTAGAGTAGCAGTTTGCTTTTGTAACAAAGATCATTCACTCATATATTTGATAAAATTTCATAAATAAATTACTGTGGCATTACAGTCAACTAAATAGACCTTCCCAGAATCTTTTAATGTAGCAAAATTGTGCATTTACCCTGGAGAAAACTTTGAAGCAAAGACAGTCTTCCTAGTGTCCTTTGAATCATCAGGAAAAATATCAAAAACTATAATAATTTTTTCACACTATTTTTTTCGAAATCAATTTCTTAGCTTTAAGATTTAAGTTTCTAAAAAGGAATGTGATGATACTGTTGAAAAGGTTAAGGAGTATACAATATTTCTTACTGTTATTTCTTGCTCATGTAGCTACTGAATAACTGTTTTTCTTTAAGTAATTCAGTTGCATTCTTTTTTGCAACTTCATGAATATTTTAAATCGTGGTTTTCCCATAAATAGTTGTCTATAAACTGTGAAGTCAAGGCTGGATGACCTTGCATCACAAAATATTTAGAAAATGAGATTTGAATGAGTGCAACATGCCAGATTTGAAATAGCCCTACCTGTGGTGCAGTGGTTCATTTTGGTTAGCTCACAGAGAATGTGTTAGTAGTTCATTGACAAGCCAGAGTCTTTGTCAAGGCTTAAGTCTGAAAATTCAGACCTTGTGAATGGTCATGGGGACTAGGCTTCTACAACAACAGGTCTGTGTTACATGTTTGAACGTCATTACTCTGGAGTTGTTCAGCCTGATTGCAGATAGAGCTAGTGGCAGCACTCATTATTTGACACATTTCCCAAAGATGTTTAAAAAGTAGCATATAGTGTTTTTTGAGTAGACTAATATAGGCTGACACAAATAAGCTGGAATATTAAAACAAAAGTTTTTTAGTTCTGTGAAAATCATAAGGTAATAAAATAATCTAAAAATAATGCTTCTAAGTTTTTTCTCTGTGGGGTAGTTCAATAAAATATGTGTGCATAGTGCTTAGACTATGGTTAATCAAATGATCTTTGAATATTTATAACCTGAACATTTTGGTTTTATGATGTCAAGAACTTGTTTTAAGTAGGATACACATCAGTTTTTACGGAGTAGAATTGAATTTTTAAAGTAACTTTTCAAAAATTGCCATATAAGTTTCCATTATCATCTGTACTCATAACAAATAATGTATTTTGGTGTAAGCTGCCTGGATACTCATTTCAAAGGCAGAATAACTTTGTTGTCACTTTGCAGAAACAGAGGTTTTGAAGATGGCACAAAGGCACTCAGGTCAAGCTAGCACTGAAGCAGGAAATGGGGTGGACTGTCCTCCAATTGTCACCTCCAAGTACTCTACCTTCAGAGATTGTTCCACATCTTCACTTCAAGATAGTGGCTACAGTGAGTTAAAATCTTGTACCTTTGATAATACAGACAGAGACTATCTTGGAAAAAAAGAAAAAGGCCCAACATTACTCCATGAGCACCCTGAAGCTTCAAGCCTGGACTTAACACATCCTTTAGAGTCTCCCACTCAAAAAAAGAAATTTATCTTGCTTAGAAAGGAAAAGGATAAAACCCCAGAACTTTGTGAAACACCTAAAATCAGTGATAAAAAATGTTTACCTCGTAGAAGGTTGAATCTATCTTTCTCTCTTCTAAAGGGGGACTTTGAATCACAAAATAGTTCTCTAGAAAGTAGTATAAGCCAAGTTCTCAACTTAGAAAAAAATATCCCAAGCAGTGCTGCAGGTTTGTCCAGGCCAAATAATTTTAGCCCTCTAGTTACTAGCACTTTAAAAACAGAAGAAGTGACTTCGAGCAGTCAAAAATTGAGGCTTAATTTTTCTCAGCAAAAGACTTCCACAATTGATGATTCCAAAGATGACTGTAACCTATTTGAAGTTGAATGTATATCTCCAATTCAAGGCAATAATTTTAAAGACTCTATCACACATGACTTTAGTGATAGCAGTTTATGCATTAATGATGAGAATACATGTCCAGAGCCCCTGGCTTCCTCTGTTAGTGGAACAACTTGTGGAACAGATGAGGACATATTTGTGACTCCAATAAGTAATCTTGTGTCAAACATTAGATTTAATGCAATTCAAATACTTTCTCCCTCACCTGAAGTGAAGGGCAATATTTCAACGCCTGAAGACAGTGGTTTTAACTCACTTAGCTTGGAGAAATCAGAAGATTCTCTCTCTGACCAGGAGGGTTCTTTTCAAGAACTATTCCAGAAACATAAGGGGACTCCCAAAGTGGGGGACACCATAAGAAAGATAAGACATCTTAGAAGGTCAAGAAGACTGTCCACCCTTCGGGAGCAAGGCTCACAGTCAGAGACAGAAGAGGAAAAGCAGATTGTCCACCCTGACTCTGAAAAAAGAGCAGCAGCTGCTTCTGCTATCTCAGAGGCTCAGCTGAACAGTGATGAGAGTAGGGATTCAACCTTTAGCTTAAAGAATTTATCAAAGACCCCAGCCTTGCAATTGGTGCATGAGCTCTTCATGAAAAGCAAAAGGAAAAGATGCCAGCAAACTAGTGGACATGAATTCTTAGAGGAAGGGGATGGGGAGAAAATAGCTGTACTACAGTGTATACTTGCAGGACTGATTGGCAAGAAGATGGGTATAGAAAAACTGGACATCTTAACAGAATTGAAATATAGAAATTTAAAGCATATTCTTGCTATGGTTTTAGATTCCTTGACTGCAGAGAGCCTATGCAGGTAAGAAGTAAGGGTTGTTTATGAAATACAAGTTTTTTTTTAAGTTGGAAAGTTTTTCTGTGACTTGAGTGGTTATCCTTTGTTTTTTTTTTGTTTTATTATCTTTATATTTTATTGTCTTATGTCAAAGGTAGTTTAAGCAAACTTCTCAACAGAGCTTGCTAATACAGTTCCTTCTGTTTAAAAGCTTTGGTAGCAATAATATAGTCTTTTTTTTTTTTTTTTTTATAAAGTTTTTATCACTGTTATTTGGAAATAAAGTTGCTAAAAGTTGAACTTCGAATTTTCAGGAATGCGAGCTCTATTCCATGGAAGTTGTTTAATGATTTATTTAATAGTTCAGATCCTATTGTCTGATTGCAAGTAGTGTTAAGGTTATGACACTTGGTCAGAAATAATGTAATGCATTGTGGTGACTGAGAAGTGACAATATACAAAGAATACCACTTAATTATTTAAGTTCTAGAATTTAAAAACAATAGTTAGCTTTTATTTTAGGGTTTGATCTTTCCAGAGACCAGGGGAGTGTGGATTATTTAATTTTTATTGTTAACACAGCAGTGAAAGTTAATGACTTTGGGGAATTTCAAGAGATTAGAAACTGAAGAATTTGTGTTCACAAATGTTGCAGTAGAGTGAATGCTGCTACATAATAAACACATTTGGGAGTATTGAGAGTGGGAACTAGGGTTACAAAGACTAAAAGGAGACTCTGTTCATGCCAATTTGGGGGAGTTACAAGACTATCAGAAGACAAGACCCATGGGAATGCCATGACAATGAAGGAGAGAAGTCATGTGGAACCATCATCTATAAGGTGATGGTTATGGAGGAACATGCAGAAAGTTAGCTTCTTTCTTGATAGGTATATGTCAAGAGTTTTTTATAAGGTCCTTGGCTTTTTGTTTTGTTTTTTAGTTTTTGTAGAGATGGGGTCTCACTATGTTGCACAGGCTGGTCTGGAACTCCTGGGTTCAAGTGATCCTACCACCTTGGACTCCCAGAGTGCTGGGATTACAGGCGTGAGCCACTGCCTGTCCTGTCCTTCTTGTTTTTATGGCCACTACTTCTATCAAAGCCTTTCTTTGTCTTTCCTCCATACATTAATTGTAGGCTGTTGTAGAGAACTGTAGGACTTCATAGCTGGAAGTCTTCTTAGGTATCTAGTTCAATCACATATTTTGCAGATGAGGAAACGAGCCCCAAAGAAGTGACCTGCTGGCAGCTAGTCAAGCAGAAAGGAATAGATCTAGGTCTACAGTGAGCTCTCTGATTTCTAATCCAGTATTTTTCCACAAACTCTTTTTTGTGGAAAGATAAGGTTTAAGGCTTTCTGGAATAGACTTGATCAAGAATGTCTTTGGTGTAACTTAAATGGGATAATAAACAGATTAGTGCACCCATATTGTGTGCCTTTTAAAAATGTTCAAACGATAAACTGTTTAAAAAATTAAGGAGATGGTTGAGATATAGGATTTTAAAAATAGTATGGATGGGGTCTTACTACATTGTCTATGCTGGTCTCAAACTCCTGGGCTCTAGCAATCCTCCTGCTTTGCTCTCCCAAAGTGCTGGGGTCACAGGTGTGAGCCACTGTGACCAGCCAGGAATGTTATTTTTATATGCTGGAGTATTTGGACCATTTAAAATTGGCTGATACTTTTGGATGCTTGCTTATGTGAGCAGTTGATTTTCAGTCATATTTCAACAATTGTCTCTCCTTCCCATCTCTCCATATGTATAGTATTTGTACTGCAAAGTATGTAACTATGTTGGCAGTACTGTTCCTGGTAACATTAGAGTTGATCAGTTGCAATATCTGTGGCAAATACCCAATTATGTAGTCATTTCTTTCCCATCATTATTATTATTATTATTATCATTATTAGTTTGACATGGAGTCTCACTTTGTCGCCAGGCTGAAGTGCAATGGCGCAATCTTGGCTCACTGCAACCTCCGCCTCCCGTGTTCAAGTGATTCCCCTGCCTCAGTCTCCCTAGTAGCTGGGACTACAGGCACATCCCACCAGGCACGGCTAATTTTTTGTATTTTAGTAGAGACAGGGTTTCACCATGTTGCCCAGGATGATCTCAATCTCCTGACCTCATGTACCTGCCTCGGCCTGTCAAAGTGCTGGGATTACAGGTGTGAGCCACCACGCCCAGCCCTCTTCCCTATTATTGGGTGGCTTTCTGCCTGTTCCTTTACTTCCCTCTGATATAGGGCATATTTATCAGATTAGAGAGAGTCAATGGCAATTGAAGCAGCCATAGTAGCTGGAAGAATAGTGTTGACAACTGGGACCCGCCGTAAGAAGTGACTTCTTTATTTCAATCTTTTCCTGACCTTATTCCCTTTGATTTGTTAGAATAACAAAAAAAGTCCAGATTAACAGTCAAGGTATTACTTTTTAATAATAATATTGTCAGTTATTGATAAATCAGCAATCACTGGACAAAAATTGTGTTTTTTCTTTAGCTGCTTCATTCTCATAAACTTTGGTTGATAAAATAGGAACTCTGTGGTACAACCCATAATAGTATTTATAGTTGGCACTTAGTAATGCCAATGAAGGCTTGTGAATTGTGCTTGTGTTTATATAATCAAAATGACAGAGATTTGTTAAACACAGGTATAGGAGAAATTGATAAAAACCTCTTGACATCAAGACAATCATTTTCATCTTGTGTTATAGATGACAATCATTTCCTGCATCTCTTGTTCCAAATTTTTAATGTCACATTTGAAGTTAAATCCTCTTAGTCTCCCAGTGGACTCATATTGGCTTTATATGACCATTTATAAAAGAGTAATCTATCTGTATAATGATGGCATATGCCTTATATTTTAATAGGACTTCTTTTATATGATGAATCGATATGAAATAACTATGTCGGCCAAGTAATATTTTTATGTAAATTTTTAGGTTTAAATTTACTTTAAACCTAAAAATTTGAAACAAAATTTGTAAATCTTTAAAACAAATTTTTCTCATTAGCATACACAACAAAACGTTAATACTATAGAAGGATGGATCTTTTTGTTACAGTGTTTGGAAAGTAAGCAGAAATTGGCGTGAAATTGTTGTTCAAGATAAAAATGCAAATCGGAGGAGGAAATTTTATATCACGCAACTGAAAACAGATTCTGAGGTAATGTATGTAATAATTCTGTAAAATGGATTTGTATAAATACATAATAATCTCATGTTGCTAGGTAACCTAATTTGGCTTTCCTGCTCTTTTAACCTTTTCCATTTAACAAACATTCACTCATAAATTCTTTAGTTTTCCCGAACTCCATTTTCACCCAGTCTATAAGTGGAATAAACTACATAGCATCAGGAACATCTTATTGGGATTTGTTGCTGCTTAAGTATATGTGCTCTTAGAAGCATTTGAATACCAGCGATATGGTGAATCCTAATTATAATAAGACACCTTTATAGCATTCTTAATCCAGTCTTTCGAGTGGACATTACGTGCTAGTAACTGTGCCAGTGCTCACATTACAATGGTGAACATTTCTGACATGGTTCCTGCTCTTTTGGAGTACATACCCTGGGGGTAATATAGGTAAATAGGTGACTACAATCCTGGTGTGTTAGGGGAAGCCCAGAGTTATTTAAAGGAGTTTTTGACTGATACTTGGGAATCAAGAGAAGTGCATCTCAACTGAGACTTGAATGATGAGTTAGCAGTTTGCCAGGTGAAGACAGAAGAGGGTTTTAGCAGAGGAAATAGCACATGTGCAAGCCTGGAGGTGAGTGAGCATAGCAGATCACCTGTGAAGCATCATAAACTTGCAGTCCCTTGAGGATTTGAATTCTGGCTTTAAAGTTACAAGAAAAGTCTTACAGAAGCTGATGGATTCTTCTCAGGCATGCTATTTTGTATAATAGGTATCTGATGACTCTGGCACCCATGTTTGATTATAAATTTAACTTTAGACCAAAAAAGATTCTGAGAGTTCACTAATTCATTCTTGTTCTAGTGAAAAATATGTAATAACATAATATAAATTTCTAATTTGACTATATATAATAATTGGAATGAAGCGTGGCATAAACAAATAGGAACACCTAGATACAGATTGGCAGGTTTCTCATTACAGTGAACTGTTAGGGACTGCTATTAACTAAAACTTTGACTTTCTCTTTTATTTTATATTTTCACCCATTCAGAGCTCTTGGCTACTTACTGCTGCAGCTGCTGGCTCTGGAAGTTTATAAAAGGGAAGATATTAATTGCCTTCTTAACATTTCTTTTTCAAATGCTGCCCTACATGCTAGGGACAGAACTTAAAAAACAGTTGTTAAAGCATGCACTGATTTAACATTTTAACATTTGACTTCATATACTTCTTAACTCCTCTAAGGAAGAAGCATATGATTGTACTGGCAACCCTCCAGGTAACTCCAGAGAATGAAATATTCTATTCCCAAAAACAATAACAAAAAGGAAATATTCTATTCTCATATTCGGCCAGGCACAGTGGCTCATGCCTGTAATCCCAGCACTTTGGGAAGCCGAGGTTGGTGGATCACTTGAGGTCAGGAGTTCAAGACCAGCCTGACCAACATGGTGAAACCCATGTCTACTAAAAATACAAAAATTAGCTGGGCGTGATGGTGCAGGCTTGTAATCCCAGCTACTTGGGAGGCTGAGGCGGGAGGATTGCTTGAGGCGGGAGGATTGCTTGAGGCGGGAGGATCGCTTGAGCCTGGGAGGTGGAGGTTGCAGTGAGCTGAGATCATGCTACTGCACTCCAGCCTGGATAACAGAGTTAAAGTTTGTCTCAAAAAAACCAGAAGTTTATATCTTCCTATTCTAGCAATCACTTTTTTAAAAACTCGGCTTCTTAAAGAACTGTACCTTCCCTCCTTTCTTATGTTCTTTTGCTTATTTGACTTGCTTTTTAAAATCTTTTTCAAAGTAATACTTGGTTTAAAAAGTCAAATTAGGCTCTCATAACAAAATATACTATTATGCCTTCATACACTTGATTCTTGTTGCATCAAGACAATCATTTTCAACACTTTCTTTTAGTGTTTACCTCCATATTTCTAAATAATTTTATTTCCCTGCCATTTCTTTACTATTTTTTATAGAAGGATTAGGTGCTGTAACCTCTCACAACTACTACTACTACTACCTACATAACCCCTCTTTCTCTGAATTCCTTTTCTCTTCTCCTATATTATGAATATAATTACACCACCATTTGGGAATGAATCAGAATTAGGTGCTGACATTATAAGGATTGTATTGAGATTATTATTACTTTTTCACAGCTGTCATATGTTGTACACTATGATTACACTTTCTTCCTAGTATAACTTTTTCTCTCCAGTTAATAATTGCCTAGTTTTTTTCTCTCTTTTATTTATTTATTTTTGCTTAGTGTTTCTCTATACAGATCCCTGATTCATCTCCCATTATCCACCAGAACTGAAAGTCTCCTCTGTGTAAGTCCAAACAAATCAGGTATTCTACCTGTTCCTTCTTTTCCTCAGAGACATCCTTCCTGGGGCCCTTTGCTGTCCTATTCCAACATGGACTGGTTGCTTTCTACTTGAACTATTCTAATGTATTATTTACCAAAACAAAAACAATTTTAAAAGAAAAAAACTGTTTGATGGTTTTCTCCACTCTTTTGTTCACTTCTTGTCTACAGCTGCTTTTTCTACAACCACAGAGTTGAGTAGCTGCAACTACATGGCCCACAATGTCTAGACTATACATTATATTATCTGGTCCTTTACAGGAAAGGTTTGCTGAACCAAGTTTAAAATAAATGGAAAAATAACCAGTCATAGAAACTTAGATGTAGAATTTAATTTTAACATTTTTCTTTTTATGTTTATTTAACGTTCGTATGTTAGGTGAGAAAAGGTCTTTTTTTTTTTTTTTTTTTTCCCTAAAAAGGAATGGTTTAGGGGAGAATTCTGATGGTAAAAAACGTCTTCAAAGCATATAAATCCACGTGCAACAGAAAGCTATCCTGGAACTGTTTTGGTATTGCAGTATTGATGCCTCTTGTCCTTTACTACAGGGGGCTGTATTAAATGTCGAGGATGCTGCCACTCGGCTCCAGCTTTTAAATCGCTCAGCTTTAAGATCTGTGCAGGCACAGGCTAGGATACCTGGTTCTCAGAGAGAGCAAGGGTCAACATTATCTCCCTGGGGAGAAGTTTTGACACCTCTAGCAAGCTCTTCTGTTACTCACTTAAGTAGTAAACAGGAAGAATATGTTAAGGTGAGTATTTATTATAAGTTATTAGAAATAAATATTTACAGAGTTTGAAATAAAGTGCTCCCCTATATGACACCAGAAGATTTAGTGTGTGTGCTTTCACTGCAGGTTGCCAAAACACTTTTTATTGATGAAGCATTAAAACCTTGTCCAAGGTGCCAATCCCCTGCTAAGTACCAGCCATATAAGAAAAGGGGACTGTGTAGCCGCACAGCCTGTGGTTTTGACTTTTGTGTGTTATGTTTGTGTGCTTATCATGGGTCTGAAGAATGTAGTAGAGGAGCAGCAAAGCCAAGAAATAGAAAAGATGCTGTGCCAGGAAGTGCCCAGAGTAAGCGGAATTTAAAACGCCTCTAAAGAGACTAAATGTAGAAGCACTCACACAGTGTTCTATGTATCTGACTTAAAATTATGAATATTTTGAATACGTGCGGATCTTCCCATTAATGACAGGTGATGATTTATTTCCTATTTTGTATATATTATAATCCATGTCATTGTATGTTTTCTTTAAAGTGAGTTTTGAAAAAATTTTATTTTACTATGTCATTTTACCCATTTTAATAACTTCGTGTTTTAAATAAAGATTTTTCATTGTTGTTATATGTATGTATTTTATTGTTGTATGTAATATTTTAAATTTGTGCATTTCATTACTCTGTGTTGAAATGCTTTTCAATCATTTTTTAAAAAATAGTTTTTCAAATAATTTTAAAGATTTTGAACTTGAGACAGATGGCCTTATAGATTTGGAAAATGAGTAATTGGCTGAAATGGAATATAAATAAAATATTTTCAGAAGTTCTATTAAATTTTTTCTGTAATTTCAATCTCTGGCTAAGTAAAATTTACTGAATGTTAATAACTAGGAAGTTATAAAGAGGAAATTATTGGAAGTATGTGGTTATTCATAATGGGAGTCTTAATTAATATATGCTTATAAATAACACATTTTAAATAAGTACTTTAAAAAATTCTAGAACTATAGGCACAGATTTCATTTATTTAGTCTAATCTGGATATTAATATTCTGACAAATTTGGGCTGGTTGGAAAAGACAGATTTAAGTGTGAAGATTTACTCAGTTATTTATAAAGTAACTTTTTCCAAAAATGATTTGAGTTTGCATGTTGCATTTATAGAACAGCAGCAAAAAAGAGATGCATTTGTTTGTTTGTTTGTTTTGAAGCACGATCTCTGTCTCCTCAGGCTGGAGTGCAGTCGCATGATCTCACAGGATCTTGACTCACTGCAAACTCTACTTCCCAGGTTCAATCGATTCTCCTGCCTTAGCCTCCAGAGTATCTGGGATTACAGGTGGGCACCACCATGACCATCTAATTTTTGTGTTTTTTTTAGTAGAGACAGGATTTCACCATGTTGACCAGGCTGGTCTCGAACTCCTGACCGCAAGTGATCCACTTGCCTCAGCCTCCCAAAATGCTGGGATTACAGGCGTGAGCCACTGCGCTGGGCTAAGAAAGAGTTGAGTTCTACTGTTGAACAAATTACTAATTCCAGGGCAAAATTTGAAGATAGTTTCATAATTTTTTTGTTTGTGTATGGGTAACTGATGTGTATACATATCTGTGTTCACAATCTGCGCATAGATTTAAATGTAGCTCTTATATGTTATTTTAACAAATCAATTTAAAATACGAGTTAGATATAGACATATGTGAGGGAAATCTGTCTGAAATTTTAACTTATTGCTTGCTATAAAATTTTGATTAGCTGCTAAATATTAAATTTTCATCTATATCTTTCTAAAAGGAGGCTAAATTATGTTTATGTAAGTTACATTTACTCATAAATTTCCTGAGACATCTTTCACATCAGGATCAATTTACTGGTTAATGTTCTTCACTTAGGCTTAACTTTTTTCTCTATAATAGAAGTTTGTTTTTAGGAAATTTATTTCAGTTTTGGTTCTTTTAATTTATGAATTTGATTCTTTGATTAACTTAATGTTAACCCTCTCTTTCTTTATTCTTTTTTTTTTTTTTTTTTTTGAGACAGAGCCTTGCTTTGTCACCCAGGCTGGAGTGCAGTGGCGCAATCTCAGCTTGCTGCAACCTCTACCTCCTGGGTTAAAGCGGTTCTCCTGCCTCAGCCTCCTGAGTAGCTGGGATTACAGGCGCCTGCCACTAAGCCCAGCTAATTTTTGTATTTTTTAGTAGAGATGGGGTTTTATCATGTTGGCCAGTCTGGTCATGAACTCCTGACTCATGTGATCTGCCCACCTTGGCCTCCCAAAGTGCTGTGATTACAGATGTGAGCCACTGTGCCTGGCCTAAACCGTCTCTTTCTGTGGCTCAGATCAAACCATATCTTCATCTGTCATATGAACAGTATTGCTGTTTTGTACTCTTGATTTCTGCCTGGCCTAAATGGCTTTCCTGCAGTGACTTTCTAGATCTTAAAAATCACAGATCCAGTTCCTTGATATATTTTTAAAAAATGAAATGCAATGTTTTCTATTCAATTTAATGTGTCATTTTAAATACTCACATTTCCCAATATCATGAATTTTTGTTATTTTATTACAGAATAATACAAAAGGAAATAGAACCATTTCTTTTACCACTTTACATGTGAAAAATGTCAGTAGTACAATGAAGGAATCTGGAATAAAGGAATCTGGGATCCTGTTTCTACTCCGTCATGAGGCACTTTCTTATTGTCTTTTATATGTTGCAGTCATACTGATCTCTTGGTGTTATCACTTTTGTCATTTTGTGGCTACCCAGCTGATATGGTTTGATAGTGTCCCCCCCTCCAAATCTCAAATTGTATCTCCCAGAATTCCCACGTGTTGTGGGAGGGACCCAGGAGGAGGTAGTTGAATCATGGGTGTGAGTCTTTCTTGTGCTATTCTCGGGATAGTGAATAAGTCTCAGAAGATCTGATGGGTTTAACAGGGGTTTCCGCTTTTCTTCTTCATTCCTCATTTTCTCTTCTGCCACCGTGTAAGAAGTGCCTTTTGCCTCCCGCCATGATTCTGAGATCTCCCAGTCATGTGGAACTTTCAGTCCAATTAAACCTCTTTTTCTCCTCAAGTCTCAGGTATGTCTTTATCAGCAGCATGAAAATGGACTAATTACAGTAAATTGCTACTGGTAGAGTGGGACTTTGCTGAAAAGATAGTTAAAAATGTGGAAGCGGCTTTGGAACTGGGTAACAGGCAGAGGTTGGGACAGTTTGGAGGGCTCAGAAGAAGACAGAAAAATGTAGGAAATTTTGGAGCTTCTTAGAGAGTTGTTGAATGGCTTTGCCCAAATGCTTACAGCAGTATGGACAATAAAGTCCAGGCTGAGGTGGTCTCAGATGGAGATGAGGAACTTATTGAGAACTTGAGTAAAGGTGATTCTTGTTATGTTTTAGCAAAGAGACTGGTGGCATTTTGCCTCTACCCTAGAGATTTGTGGAACTTTAAACTTAAGAAACATGATTTAGTTTATCTGGCAGAAGAAATTCCTAAACAGCAAAGCATTCAAGACGTGACTTGGGTGCTGTTAAAGGCATCCAGTTTTATAAAGGAAATGGAGCATAAAAGCTTGGAAAATTTGCAGCCTGACTATGCGATAGAAAAGAAAAACCCATTTTCTGGGGAGAAATTCAAGCTGGCTGCAGAAATTTGCATAAATAGCAAGGAGCCTAATGTTAATTCCCAAGACAATGCGGAAAATGTTTTCAGGCCATGTCAGAGACCTTTACAGCAGCCGCTCCCATCACAGGCCTGGAGGTCCATGAGGAAAAAGTGATTTCGTGGGCCTGGCCCAGGGTCCCCATGCTGTGTGCAGCCTAAGGAGTCGGTTCCCTGTGTCCCAGCCATGCCAGCTGTGGCTGAAAGGGGCCAATGTACAGCTTGGGCTGTGGCTTCAGGGGATGGAAGCCCCAAGCCTTGGCAGCTTCCATATGGTGTTGAGCCTGCGGGTGCACAGAAGTCAAGAATTGAGTTTGGGAACCTCCGCCTAGATTTCAGAAGATGTATGGAAATGCCTGGATGCCCAGGCAGAAGTTTGCTGCAGAGGCAGGACCCTCATGGAGAACCACTGCTAGGGCAGTGCAGAAGGGAAATGTGGCGTCTGAGCCCCCACAGAGTCCTTACTGGGGCACTGCCTAGTGGAGCTGTGAAAAAAGGGCCACCATCCTCCAGACCCCAGTATGGTAGATCCACCAACAGCTTGCACCATGTGCCTGGAAAAGATGTAGACATTCAACGCCAGCCCATGAAAGCAGCCAGGAGGGAGGCTGTACCCTGCAAAACCGCAGGGGCAGAGCTGCTTAAGACCATGGGAACCTACCTTTTGCGTCAGCGTGACATGGATGTGAGACTTGGTATCAGAAGAGATCATTTTGGAGCTTTAAAATTTGGCTGCCCTGCTGGTTTTCAGACTTGCATGGGCCCTGTAACCTCTTTATTTTGGCCAGTTTCTCCCATTTGGAACAGTTGTGTTTACCCAATACCTGTATCCCCATTGTATCAATTATCTAGGAAGTGACTAGCTTGCTTTTGATTTTACAGGCTTATAGGCAAAAGGGACTTGCCTTGTCTCCAATGAGACTTTGGACTATGGACTTTTGAGTTAATGCTGAAATGAGTTAAGACTTTGGGGCACTATTGGGAAGGCATAACTGGTTTTGAAATGTGAGGACATAAGATTTGGAGGGGCCAGGGGTGGAATGATATGGTTTGGTGGTGTCCCCACCCAGATCTCACCTTGAATTCCCATGTGTTGTGGGAGGGACCCAGGAGTAGGTAATTGAATCATGGGGACAGGTATTTCCCATGCTATTCTTGTAATAGTGAGTAAGTCTCATGAGAACTGACAGTTTTATCAGGGATTTCCACTTTTACAGCTTCATTTTCTCTTGCCACTGCTATGTAAGAAGTGCCTTTTGCCTCCTGCCATGATTCTGAGACCTCCCCAGCCATATGGAACTATAAATCCAATTAAATCTCTTTTTCTTCCCAGTCTCAGCTATGTCTTTATCAGCAGTGTGAAAATGGACTAATACACCAGCCTATTAGAGTGTAACCTTTTATTTCACTTTGGTGGTAAAAAAGATTTTATCACATTTAATTTTAGAAATCAACAATAAATAAGTGGTTCTTTTTACTACAGGTACTGTGAAACAATGGAAGTTGACGTTTTTTATATATCTGACTTTATTTGGGATTTAA